ATATATATATATAGTATATATATATATATATATATATATATATATATTATATATATATATATCTAATATATATATATATGTATATATAGTATATATATATATATATATATATATGTATATGCGCGCGCGTGTGTGTGTGTGTGTATACGTGTGTATGTATGGTTGTAATTATGACGTTATTGTGTGTGTGCTTATGTAAATGTGGCCTGTATACACGCTGTTATCGAATTAAAGTTTTCAACAAGCTTTGAAGCCTCCCTACATCACGTTCGTCGCTTACTGCTGTTCCACTCTTGCAGGTACAATCTGTAACATCGTTGCATTGGCCCTTTTGCTGACGGGGTGCTTGACTGACTACTGGCTGTCCGGGGAACTTGGCAATGTGGGACTTTGGAGGCAATGCTATTATGGTAAATCTCAGTTCAATTACATATTTTGTTCAACTTTACACCAAAATTACCATCAATTTATTTGTTTTGTACTCGATATAGTCGCCTACGTTCCTCTGTATCCTTTGTTTGCGTTCTCATGTCCTACTATTTATTTCTCGTGTCCCACGATTGCGTTATATCAGTATTAGATAGTATCAATACTTCCAGTGCTTTCAGACGGAGTTTTCTGTGAAAATATAAACGTTCCAATTCTGCATCGCGAGTATGGTTTTATGTATCCCGATTGGTCGCTCTCACAAAGTCAGCTGGCTATTTATATCCCCTATCTTTGACTTGTACACTAGGTTTGCCCTGTACATCGCCAAACGAACTGTCGTCGTATGTCGCACGAGTGATGATAGTGATCTCGTTGGTGATTGCGTTTTTCTCGCTCTTTGTGGGAGTGGGAGCGCTTGGGTTCTTCATGCGCGATTTTCCCGTCCACATCCTGGCCTGTTTTACCGTGGGCCTATCAGGTATGTGTGCATTGTACGGACGGTTAGTGTGGTGCATATGTATGTAAATGAATACACGTCCCAATGGCTAGTGAGAGTCATGAGCCGCCTTATATAATCATCGTAATATAGTCCATCTCAAGCTGATGGTACTCTTAATTTTAAACACAGGCTTTTTGGCCATCTTAGGGACCTCTATCTATATCGCCGGGTATTATCTGGGCATGGCGGTTTCGTGGTCGTGGGGATGTTCACTGGCAGCCTCACTACTGCAGCTATTCGTCACCCCAAATCTTTACTGGTAAGTTTTTCGGTGCGCATTTGACTACTTTTGTCTGATGAGTCCCCCGGTTAAGAATAGTACCTTTGTTCGACACTACCAGATAGAATCTGCTCCGGGGTAGATGACTTCACCTGTAACCACACGTCTATTAGATCCAATGGTCCCATCGCAGTAGGCAGAGGTTTGTGTTTTAATGTAAGGAGCTTTTGGTATGTGAGGCTGTGACGGCATCCTGGTGATTCGTTGGCTATGTACTAGTCTACCCATATGACTGACAGGCCTCATTTTCCATCACAGGTACTCGTACCATATACAGGCGTGGTTTGGTCGTATGTTGGTCAACACCTTCGGCGTACGCGACAACACGCCCCGCATGATCAACGCGTCCAATCAGTCAGGCATGGGAGATGCCTTCAGAGAGTCTAACACATACAGTCGGAGTGTGAACGGGAGTCGTCCTAACAGTACTGGAGAGGGCGAAGAGGATGGTTTGGAGCTGCATGTACATGCGCACAGAGCTGCACCGCATAATAGCAATCCCTCATCGAATGTCGGTATGGTGGATACATAGGTGGTGGGGGGGTAGTGGAGAAAAACTGACATGTCCAAGTGTATGCTGAGTTACACGAATAACCCATTCGGAGTGAGTGGTGGGTATATATATATATATATGAGAGCTGCATACACTACCGTATGCACAACGCACGTTAGGCATAGCTGCTTCACGCTCCAATGGAAGATGGAATACTTGAGCTACACAGTTGTAGGGAAGGCAGGAACACAGGTAGGTGTCCGCACTCAAGCACAGACCTACAAGACCAGAAGGGTTCAAGTGACTTGTACGATCGTCTACGCTGAATATATATACAGATACACATATACGCGACCGCCTCCGTGAGTGATCGACACACATATAGCTACCCGTAGTCCCTCGTGTAGGCTGGATGCTGTGTACCTTAGCTGCAGAGAAATGCCACTCCCGACCACTTAACACAACACCGGTGGTTTTTAGAACTATATTGACTTGTGCTTGCCATAGGGTCTCGCACCGGCGTCAGAGCCGATAGTGGGACTAGGCGGGGTTTTGCATGTGGATATCGCAAAATGGTCTTCTGCAACAGCCCAAGTTCTGAGAACAAGAACAGTATTGAAACCTCGCTGGCATTGCAGTAGAAGCTGAACTATGTGCTACGGCATCTGGTTATGCTGAAGTACGCGCACAGCCACACGCAGTCAACCCCAGTGTTTAGGTCGACATAGTATTGGAGTAAGGAGGCATGCGCATAATTATAGCTGATTGGGAAGCGTCGAAGGTCTCATAAGGTGGTGTACTCCGTATTGTTTGTTTTTTTCCTTATACGCACGTGCTTTCAAGAGTGTGATGCACCCTACTAGCAACACATATCTATAGAGGATGGGACATCAGCACTGTTATGGGCAATCAGTATCGAATATCTGTGCATGTGCATTATATTTAATTTTCAGGATAGTCTGTTGAGCAGTGCCTATTTACGATCGCGAACCTATCCTTGGTGGAAGCATTGGTTAGCGTCAGCGATCTTTGGAAAAATGAAGATTGGATTGAAAGCCTTAGCTACTTTCCACATTCGCGACCACGTGCAAATGACCTGTTAGTAGTTATACCCATTGTCCCATATACTAGCACGTTGCGCTGGAATATGAGCGCTATTGATGTGGAGTGGATAGTAGAATCAAAGGGCAGACGCGATTTCTCGTGTCGGTCTGATTGGAATGGACCCAGGGCAGAATTGATACCCACACTAACACTATCAAGTGGGATCCGATTGGGTGTGCATCACGACAGTACGTCAAGAAAATTTCCGAGATGTAGTGGTTTCGTACATTACGTCAGCAGCGAATATCGCTTGGGCATCGATGATAGCGGCCATAGTTACACTTGTGCATACCACAATTGCCGATAGATGGCAGCTCATGGGTGTCCGAAGTATATGATCTTCACGCACGTTTGGCTGGGCATTTGAGCAGCGAACTGACATTGTGCAGATTAAAAGATCCACTAGATCTGCACATGGCTCGAACTACGTCTGCACATGCTTCGAACTACGCAACTCGCAATTAGAACAATTACAAATAAATCGTCAAAGGGTGCTATATCTAAAATCCGGATGCTTTACGATTGTGCTAGAGCCTTTTTGAATAAGTCACAATCCTTTTAATTTAAAGATTATGCCAAGGTGAAGAAAGCTGAATATGTAATAGGAGGCGCGTTGTACATCGATACCGATTGAACACCCCGCTGCCAATAGCTAAAGTATGGCAGAGAAGCTTAAATGTTGCCGCACATTCAATATAAAATGACTATTTGTTCCTATTTTATTTGTCCTAATATTTTTACTGACATGTACGTCGAGTACTTTGCCCTTGGTATGTGCGTTGCCTGTTTTCACTTACACGTATAAGCTTTGAAGATTCATAGCGATTTTCCTATTGTGATCGCCGGCATCACCTACGGCTGCAACACGCGGCGAGCACGGGGCGCTGCTGTTTGACATCTCGCTCATACTGTTATAGCCGCTGTCTATAGGAGAATCGCACTCTACCGTTCGACGACCCTTTTTATCCAAATCCGGCCAAAATCTATATATGTAATTCTGTACCTCATTGACACTCCAACGCGACTCGGGATTGATGTCTAGCATATGCACAAGCAGTTCACGCTGCACAGGTCCTAAAGTAGTCCATGGTGCCGCTCTCAGTAGCTCTTCTGGTTTACATTGGTATTTTCTGTATTCTTTAGAATTTGCATTTGCCTTCGACCACGGAAATCTGCCGACAAGCAGGCAATACATAACTATACCAAGAGCCCACACATCCGCTTTCTTAAGATCCAAAGTAATCCTCGGAGCTGCGTCCTGCACGAGCAATTCAGGTGCCATATACGGAATAGTTCCAATGTGTCGCTTATAAATGGCTTTTGAGTCACTGCTGATTACTTCCGACAGCCCTAGATCAATTAGCTTTACGGTGGACTTGCTTTCGTCGAGAACAATGTTTTCTGGCTTGATGTCTCGGTGTGCAATACCCATATTATGTAAATATCCCACAGCACTCGATAATTGAAGCACATAGCTCTTGACAATAGCAGTATCCAGTCCTACATCAGGCACAACTATGTCAAACAGCTCACCACCGCTGAGATACTCCTGCACCAAAACCATCACTTTGTGATTTCTCGAAGTAGCAATCAAATCAATAACGTTTTCATGGTGCACCATGCTATGTATTGCGGCTTCTCTGCTGATTGAGTACAGATCTCGATTTTCTAACAGCTGCTCTTTGATCACCACAACCCTTCCTGTTTTCGCCTCTTGTGCTAGAAAGATCGTGGCTGTGCTTCCGGATGTCAAATTCTGTAGAACTACATATTCTTGTAGCAAGTGTTTGAAGACCCTATGCTTTTTACTGGTCTTGTGCCTTATGCACTGGTCAACCTGCTCAGCAACTTTAGAAGCCTGCTCGGTAACTTTAGAAGCCTCCGTAACTACGGGCTTCTTGTCGACATCGATGGCGAGAGCCATCCAGTCTAAAACTTTCTTGACTGACATTGTGACAATTTTGAATTTAGGAGATCAGAATCCAAGGAAACACACATATATATATATATATATATGTATAACACTCTTGAAAAAAGTTTTACGGCCTTCTAAATTCATTATTTAGAAGGCTATGACAGTTTCCTAACTCGACACATTTTTGGGGTCTTTTCTGTAGTCTCTCTCTCTCTCGCTGAGAGTAGTATGAGAACCTCAGAAGCCTTCTAGTTTTTAAATCAGACAAGAAAAGAAAGTGCATATGCTTTTGTCAAAAAAGAACCTTCCCCTTCTCTCGGCCGCGATTAGAAGATAGTATCCAATCAGAAGCTTAAATGGTGATAAGAATCGCTATAATTTTGAAAACGTGATAGACACGACGGCTGTTTCAGTTTTTGACTCGTGTTTAGTTATGTGATCAATTCTCTATTGCGGTATTGGACTATTGGCTATTGCCCCTCTCAAGAAGTCTCATTTAGTTCTGAGTCTCTGACTTCTCTGACTTCTCACTTCTGTGATTCTGTCTCACTCAGGTCCAGCCGTCCAGGCCTCCAGGGCAGGGCAGAGACTTCAGAGTTCAGAGTCTCTTGACTCTCTTCAACTCTCTTCTTGTTGCCACTTCGTGTAAAGTTGTCACTTGTGTCACTTGTCACTTGTCAGACTTCAGAGTTCAGATTTGAGATTTTAGACAATTGTAGTTTTAGACTTTAGAGTTTAGAGTTTAGACTCATTATGAGTAAGACTTTAGAGGAGTACTCGGTTTAGACTTTCGAGTTTAGACTATATTTTGCTCAACAGTTTTTAAAAACGTGCGTGAATAAAATGTTGAGTCGTGTCTGTGTGACAGTCTGTGACTCCGAACCGGCGAACTGTTGTTCGAAATTCTGCACCGGGTATATCGTCGCATTTTGCCACCCAACCGGAACCAATTGCCCTATTGGCAATTGCTCAATTTCAAAGAGCTTATCGATGAGAATTCAGAATTGTTAGGGCGAGTTCGAACGGTTTTGTACCCGGTCTATTTTTCTTTTGTTTCCTTTTTCTACAACAAAACAAACATAAAAAAAACACTATAAAAAAATCATGACTGAGATTTAATTAGTTATTAGAGTGCATCTTTTATTTTATTTTAAAATTAAAAAACAAAACAAATTGAAGGTTCATTGTGCAAGAAGACTGCAAGCTCAATTGATGAGTGTCAACAACTCAACAGTCAACACCTCATAATTCACAATTTCACAAACATAAATCTAGGGGGGTTTTTTTTTAATTACCGCAATTCGTGTTCTTGTTGTTTTTATGTCGTTTTTAGGAGGCTGTGTTTTATTTTGTGTTTTTCCTTCTTTTTTTTTTTAAACAAAAACAAATTAAAAATACAAATAAATCATAGCCTTCTGAAATCAGAAGGCTATGAAATAAATACACAAAATTAGCAAACAAACAACTTCTTCAGCTCTCCCACTACTACTAAATACTATTTACATCCTCTGGTAGACTCTCTACCAGAGAGAGAGAGAGAGTCTCTACTCTCTACTCTCTACTAGCCTCTACTCTCTTATTTTTTTCTATTTTGTTTTTAAATACTACTAATCGCTCTCTAGTAGTCTCTACTACTAGAGAGTAAATAGTAGTAGTGATTAGTGAGACTATGAGCTAACCTCATATCGTTATAAGTTGCAACGCAAATAACTGATCCGTTAAACGAAAATCAAACGTATATTTCCTTTTCAGTGTCCCGTTTATATTTGTAGGGCCATATTCCAGGGTAGGAAATAGGCATGATATACACACCAATATTTTGTCCTGATGACACATTCTGTTATTGACAACTGAGACCAAATTTTACAATAAGTGCACAATTCAGGTCACAATATACAGGTTAAAATATACCAAAATACGTTGCAACACTAAAAACCAATCCGTTAAATGTTTAAAATAGACGTTTGTCTACATGACGCCAATCGTTATGCGGTTGGACTGTGAGACTGTGAGAGAGAGAAAAGACAAAGTTGAAAACTTGAATGTATTTATCGTAAACGCTTTTTAAAAAGAACGTCTATATTCTAATATGGGTCAAAACTCAAAAGACTGTGGGATTTATGAGACATGAAATTCTGAAAACTTAGAGTCTCACACACCCGACAGCCTGACAGGGTCCAAACATCATGCACCCGTCACGACAACTATAGGGCCGTTAAGATATAAAAAGTCGAGACTTGGCTCTTGAGAGAATGTAAATTTATGCAAAGTTTATACGTTATTAACGCAGCGGTCGAACATCAAAAAGATATATGTAAAAACAAAAACATTCACCAAAATTTATTGTTTATTTATCATAAGTATCTAGTATGCAGTTATTATGCACTCTATGGCAGTCTATGCAGCAAGTCAGCAGCAAGTGCATAGCCTTCTTCATTTTAGAAGACGAGCACCTGTAGGCTGCACTTTGCAGTAGAGGAGTAGGCGAGTAGGTGGCGGTTCGTACTTCGTAGCAATCGCAGATTCATAGGCTCTATTGACAGTAAATATGTTCATAGGTACCAGCTTCAGGTGCTTATCTCTCTAGCTACTAGCTAATGATTCCATTGTGGGCGTGATTTTATTAACATCTATAACGACAATATTCACTGCAATAAGTTCATATGTGTTTCAGCGGAAAGATTGATGGCAGTGTGTTCAGAGTTGTTAACTTCAAATTCTAAGCCATAAGTTCAGAGATGGAATAAGAAGGTAAAGATGCGTTATATTTAGTCTTTAGGTGCTTTTAAAGTAATTGATGGACAACAAAGAGCTGTTGTGTAATAAAAATAGCCGTTATTAACCTATTATGAGCTTTTCAAGCAATTGACAGGGCAAAGACAGTCAATTAATAATATTTGAAATTTATTGATCTACTTAAACCGGGCGACGCGCGTCGACATTCCCGGCTTCAGTGTCTAGTTTGTGATGCGGAGGTATTTGTTTGGGTTGTGGCAGTGCTCTTCTGCATAATTAATATCACTCTAGGTATCGCTTCGATTCCAGCATTCTGTCATTTTGGCATCAGATCACCAGTCTTCCGTCAAGACAGGGTCGTCCTCGTGTGGGGGGGCACGAACTTCCATCTCGTCGGTTGACTCAGATTCGAACCCACTATCCGCCGAATTTTTTAATTTAGAGTCGCCATGTCTATCAATCACCAGACCTTCATCTTCACTCTCTACAATGACCCAATGGGCTATAATATATTCCTTGATCGCTTGCGCATCCCACCTCTCGCTTGGGTTCTCGGCCAACATATGACGCAGCAATGTCAGATGAGTCGGCAGGAGGTTTTTCCACGGTTTACGGCTAAAATCTCCTCGGCGGAATCTTCTATATTGGGCACAAGACTTGTCCGCTTGAGCCCACGGAAATGTACCAGTCAGCATGCAAAAGAAAGTAATACCAAGCGACCACACATCAGTCTTGCACAAGTCTGTGCTAATATATTTCTGACTGGAATTAGCCATCAGTTCAGGTGCCATGTAGGGAACAGTACCTACATGTCTGCGTACGCGCTTCCTCCGGGCATCGTCAGATAACCCAAAGTCTATGACCTTCAGATTGCTTTTACTTTCATCAAGGATGATATTCTCAGGTTTGAGATCACGATGTACGACATTTGCTGAGTGCATGTCAATGACCGAATTGATCAGCTGTAGCAGGTAACTTTCTGCTTGTTGGACCGGCAGGCCAACATCTGGCACAATAGCATCGTACAGTTCACCACCAGAGCAGTATTCCTGTAAAATAACCATTGCTGTTTGATTGGCAGCAGTGGCAACGAATTTCACCACACTACTGAACTCGCAACGACTGTGCATAATTGCCTCTTTATAAATCGAACTAACTTCCCGATTTTTGAGAAGTTGTTCCTTGATTATCACGAGGGAACCAGACACAACATGTTTAGCAAGAAAAACTTCAGCAGTACTACCATCACGAAGCTGTTCCACAACAACATAATCTTTCAACAAATCGTCATAATTACGCTTTTTATCACCCAAAGAGGTGAGGGTACTCAAATCGTGCGAACTCAGTACTTTGGGAACACCATATTCATGAGTTTTACAATAATGCGTTGATCTATTAGAAGGAACAAGCAATTGCGAATTACTAAGAACGGGCAGTGGTTGTTTATTGTTATCTCCACCCCCAAAGGGCGACGCAAGCCAATCCAGAATTTTTTGCATAAGTGCGTTGCTTCTGTGTATATATATTTCTAGAAAATTAAATGCTTTCGCAAAACTGAATATGAATTCGCAATGTGTCGTCCTTTTGTACTCTCGTCACAAGGGCGCATGTGTGCGAGTGCGTGCGATTATGCGTTTTTATTTTATTGAGGGCGCCGATTAGCTGGGGCCTGTTCCCAGAGTCCCGGACGGAGGACCACTCTTGTTAGTGATGTCACTTTAGGGCTTTTGGTCATCAGTCCAAAAAATTGAGATGTCTCACTGCGTTACAGACGTCAGAACTGGTCAGAAACCTTAAAAAGCCTACGAAAAAGAGTCAAAATTGTGAGTTTTTCTAGAAAACCTATATCTCATTGAAGTCTGCAGATAGTCCGGCCTTCGGGATTTTGTGTGGCTGGGTCCTGGTCCTCCTGGACCTGGTGTCCTGGACTCTTTTATGTCCTGTCCCCTTGCACTCTCAAAGAGAGAGAGCCCCTCTCTCTATACATAGCTGAGAGAGTCGGACAGACTTGGGTTTTGGGTTCAGACGCTTTTGCTCTTGTCGGTCAGGCGTCGGAACTCGGCACTCGGCACTTGGCAGTTAGCAGTCAGCAGAGTGGTCTTCGGTCACCCCTCAGCCTTATGTACACAGTCTCACTAATACACAGTCACACAAACACAAGTCACCCGCACTGGCACCTGTCACTCACTGTTAGTCAGTCACATAGACACACATAAGCTGCTAGAGAGAGAGAGAAGAGGCTTCAGGCTTCAGCTTCAAGGTCCACACTTCACTAGGGTGGTTCAAGCCTCAAACCCAAGGATTAGTACAGCTGTTGAGAGTAGAGACAGCGTAATAGCTTTCATAAATCCGAAATCGACCAGCTAGCCGGCGTAGCCGCTGTGTTAGGCTGTCAGCACTCAGCAGTTTAGTACTCAGGCTGACTCAGCAGTCAGTCCTCTCAACTCCTCTGATCTGAAGAGTAAAGAGTGAAGAAAGAAAGAGCGGTTTTTTTAAATTAAAAATATATCACCGCTTATTTCGGTTGGAAAGGGAGGCTTACAAAAAAAAATAGAGAAGTGTCTTGTACGAAGGTTTTCAGTTTTCTATAATAAATAAATTGGAAACTATGTATATTTGGGAGCTTTTTTTACAATCAAAAAAGTATAGTGAACTTCAAAACCCTCTCCTCGCGCGCGTGTAGCTGTGTGTGCCGTCATCTAACTCCTTCCACTTGTATTTTTGCTTCAGAATTCCTTGGGGGAGAAAATGAGTGCATACCTCTGGTTAGCATATGCATGTGTTCGGAGCAACGTGTTTAATTCTTTTACTCATTTCATAAATTTCAAAATTAGCTTCAACTTACCTCCCCGCTACCGCTGGTATCATATTGTGTTATTGCCCCCTTTCTAATTTCTATATTTTTCTTGACCTTTTGTACTCCTAAGGAAAAAAAAGGCTTACATTTTCACAGTATTCGGGGGGGGGGTGGGGGTTTAAATATATATATATTTTTAGGGAGTATTTCTAAAAATATATATGCTTTTAGTGATCAATGCATAATTAAAAGCCATAAGAAAGTCAAACCGTCAAAGGTGGTGAAAGGTGAAAGGCTGAGACTTGAGAGTTGTACCGAGACTCTGAAGTCTGAGACTCTTTGAGTCTGAGATCTGAGACTTGAGACTTGAGGCTTGAGACTTGAGAGTTGAGAGTCTGGTGGACTAAATTACATAGTCTGAACTCTGAACTCTCGACTCTGAACTCTGAACTCTGAACTCTGAACTCTGAAGTTCTGAAATCTGACAACTCGAGCTTAAAGTAGCTGAACTTAGCGCTAAAAGTATTTTCGCGCTACAAGCCTACACAACAAGGAGCCTACAGCCGACAGCTATTTATATAAGCTGCAGAGCACGTTTTACTTCTTCTTTTTTAAACAAAAACGCAATCATTTTATAGCGTATAATGCAGGTTTTTTACCTTTTAGTAGGTACTTTTCTTTTTAAATTTCCTTTTCTCTGTATTTTAGTATATTGCATACCCTACTGGCTGCTGGGCGCTGGCATTGGCAACGAAGTACGATTTACGAAGTACAAACCCGCGACCTTTTAAGTTTTATTATTACCTGCAGGCTGCAGTCCTGCAGTCAGACTCAGTGCAGTCCTACACACTATATTTTGTACAACGAGTATTGATTTCAAAAAATAACAACTGAATACTGAACTGGGGTTGTGTTCATTAATTTTTTGAGTAGATAAGAGGCTTTTCATATGGCAAAAAAAATATTTAACAAGTGGCACGCCAGACGGCCAGAACGGCCTACTGATATTTAACTTTTAAAAAATAAGCTCTCTCTCACTTACTCTCCTCTGTAGAATAGAGTAGAGAGAGAGTAGAGAGAAAGCGGCGGGTGCTACTGCCGCTACATCGCCGTAGCGGCAGGACGGGGCTCGAATATACTCTTATAAATGCAGTCAGTCGATTGATGACAATTGGTACATCGCCTCGTTATCTATTGGCTATTGTTAGATGAATCATCAATCACATCACGCTTTCTAGAGAGCGTATAACCCTTATCATCTCCATGGACCCCATCACCCCATGTGGATATGACCCGCTCTCTACTCAATATTAGTAGAGGCGAGAGAGAGAGAGAAATGTTTTTTAGTCCCATCAAAAGTTCAAACTCTTGTAGATTGACTAAAAGATTTGGCACTATTTACATCTAAAATTCTAAATATTAAAATAAATACAATAATTTTTTCTACAAAATACAATCACTATCATCAAACTAATTTTTCTTGCTCTTTTATATTGTACAATGTACATAAATACAATAGTCAAAATCAAATACACTCAAATAAATAACCCTTTATTTTTTATAATTTTATATATAATTATAAATGTACATAATAATGTATACAGTATGTGGCATTTTTTTGCTTTTGTTTTATTTTTGTTTTAAAAAAACATACACATGTACAATTGTAAAGTAGAAAAAAAAAACAGATAATAGCCTTGGGCCTTTGTGTCATGTGTGTGATGGTCTATCAAACACGCCTTCTTGTGTTTTTAAATATACAACTATTTATGATATGAAGAACTTTAAAATTTTAATATAATATATATTTTCAAAAATATAGAATAGTAGCAGTCTATGTATCGGCCTCCCTGTGTGAGCCTGTGACTCCTGTGAGGCTCCCTCAGAGGCTCAGAGTCAAAGAGATTAGAGAGACAGCTGCTTGTGAGACTGTGACTGTGAGACATTGAGACTTGAGTTGAGACGTGTGTGAATTGTGAGTGAGTGAGTGATTTTAAAATTGCGCCCACTGCCGCCTGTAGGCCTTACATTTAGTCCTTAGTGATTTAGAGTGTTGACTGTTGACTGTTGACAGCTGACTTTCATCTCGGGCCTCTGAGGTTCTGACGCTCCAACTCCCAAGCCTCCAACACTATTATCATTATGTATCAATCACTCCGATAGATATGAATCAGCATACTATCTGCTACTTCTACTACATAGTAAATAGTATCTAATACACTTTAAAACATAGCTAGAAAACGCAATTTTAGATGCTGTTATATTTATATAGCCTTCAAAAAAATAGAACTATTAGTTAATAATTAGTACTTCTATCCGATCGGCTAAATATCCTGCTTTCATATTTTAATGAGTGAATTCAAATTTCAGTTAACCACCCTCTCAGTCTCAGGTCTCTCTGACACTCCCAAACACCTCCAGAGATGGGCGAGTCGCAGTCTATCTAGCGCAATTTTAGATGCTGTTATATACTCTTATCGGTTGTTTAATATTAAATAAATCTACTTAGCCCGCTTTTTCATAAAGTTTTGATCTTTGTCACCTAGTTTCGAGTCGCTGTCTCATAGTATTGTCATCTTGATTATTCAGTTCGCTGGATTTGTTGTTCGTGGACAACTCGGTAGCATTCGACCCAGACTCGCCCGCGTGTGTGTCGGCTGATGTCAGATTTGTATTCTGTTGCGGTTGTAACTCAGGTTGAGTGTGTATACTTGGCTGCATATTCGATCGTGTGTGTGCATCCAGCGGTGTCATACGTGGACGTTTAGGTGCTTGTGCGTGCATATCTGGGTGAATTTGTGATATCGTTGTTGATTGCAAGTCATGCACAGGACCGCTGTGCTGCATCTGCGTGGCTGTTCTATATAGGGACGTTGGCTGTACCGTTTTCGCCGCCTGTAGTTTAGTGTTTCGAGATGGTGCTCTCGGTTGAGACTGCGTGGCCGCACTATGCGAGCGTGCCTGATGATGGTCTTCGGAGATTTTTCTTTTGCGCTTAACAGTACTTTGAAAATTCCCATTTACAACTATCTCTTCTGATAATTGCTTGTGACTTCCGTTTGGGTTCTGTGCAGGAGGTGGCCGTGTTCCTGTGTGTACAGCATATATGAAACATCCGTCAACGACCGTGCTGATAACAGGATACTAGAGAATCTCCAATTCAACACTGCACACAGCGGTGCTTGCCATTTGGAGAAATGGTAAGAAGTTGAAATAATATAAGTTCAAAGCTATAAACACCTTGCTCGAAAAGAAACTATAAAGATAGTCTAAGCCAATGTGTACAGAACAAAGGCGAGTATGTGAACCGTGAGGGAGCATCTAGGCATGCACGCCTCTATAAGCTGTTGTTTCACGCGCAAATTCTTCACCAGCAAACACGTTCAGAAGCCAACGGCGCATACACTCAGATAAGACTTCCTCTTTTCGCAAAAAAAAAAAAATTCCAAAATTGGCGTCAAAGAATGCAATTCGCGCTCAGAAGCCTCGAGTTTGCATTACATAGTAAACCGCACCAGCATTCAAGGCCCACGCACTATTGAGCGAACCGGCATGAGAACATACAAGCACACCAATTATAGTCAATATCTACCCGCACTTGTACGCATGTTGCGGATGCTCATTGTCAAGTTGAACTTACAACCGATGTGATCACACAAGTTACCATCGTTATCGTGCTCCGACCCGGCCGTTGCAGGGGGGAAGGGGTCCGGGCATGGGTACGGGGGTGCACAGACACACAGGGTATGCCTGCGTTCAATTAGGTACGTTGAAAACTCGTCCAGAAGCAATCTCATCAGATGGAATGATCCAAAGGACTTGGCACTTCTTAGCGTAAGATCTCGCACAAAGAGGGTGGACATGAAGGACCATACAGTCAGGAAGCGCCGGCTGCTCTTGTAATATGCCTCGGATGCGGGCTGCGGGGAATATGACCAATAAAAAGCGGTGAGCTCATTTAGAATAGTACTGATGGTATGGATATGCGACTATACAAATGCCGTACTGATCGATCGAAATGTGCATTGTGCCCATACAATTATTCGACCATACAGAATATTGGGTGTGTACGCAATTATTTCTGCTTTGCTGATATATAGACCTGTGTGTCATACTTCAGTAGGCCTATATACAGGAGAGACGCTATACAGGAGAGATGCTATACAGGACGACTAGGCTCATCCTCGGTCCCCAAACCGAATATATCGGATCAAATCTAACTGGATGAGATAAAATTGTCGACGCGGAGAGTACTCAAATTGAGAGTGATAGCTACTATCGTCCTCACACATCGCACGACTATTGTATCCCAAGTAAAAAGCACTCCTTGCTTATCGACTCGGTAGAGCTCGACAGATGACAACACACCACCCACATATACACAAGCAGCATCGTATTCGAATCCACTACATATACACGAAATTCTGCATTAGGGTCAAAATCTGCTACCTATAGACATAAAATTCGTATCTGCTTGACATATACACAAGTATGCATCAACTCAGCGTCAAAATTTACTACCTATAGACAAAGACATGCACCACTTTTGAATCCACTGCCTATGGTTAAAATAAAAAGTGTGAGTCACTTACGAGGGCACCTATCCATACACATAAAACATACGTCTCCTAGCGTTCGATCAATCACGTGGCCTAGCCATAAGGTCCACGTTTCTACCGCCGCTTCTGCACCCAAAATGGCTTCGAATTCGGATTCAATTGACAGCATGACTGTTTCATCGCAGCCGCACACGGCTACGGCCTGTTCTCGCATACTCTTCTTGTCTATGCGACACCAGTCGTCCAGCATTTGCACGACCTACACGAATAGCCAAATACCATAGGGTCTTACGTAAGCTGTGTGTAATTCATGTGTAACATATGGAACAACGTAACCCCACCCCGCCCGATCTCAAACCTTGCGCACGTTTTGACGCAGTGTCAAGAGTGTCATTGCACCGACTGTGCCTCACTAAGCACCCTTGTTGGCGAATGCCAATCGTGGTTCGTGGTATTCAACGAGGCTGTGCAACTGGCTGCATTGATGAGTTTCAATGTGTTTTTGCAATGAGCAGGTCACCACCAACTTGTATATATTTGCACTTTTCCACCGAAAAGTATAGACGGGAGAGTATCGCAAACGTTTATGAGTTTGTTGTCGTGTCCGACTTTTAAGATACTCAGAATGCACACCGGGTCTGTGGTTTAATTTAAGCTCGATCATCATAAATAGACGAGGATATTAAACTCTCACATATATACCGGTAAAACAAGTACTTATCACTCATGAATAATGCAACAACGTGGGCAATGATTATCTCTGGCCCATCCAGTGATATACAAACAAGCAAACATCATTCTTAAGAACCTTACTTGAGTCTCGCACCTCTCGATGCACCACCACACACTCGTGATCGCCATTACTCACCTGTTGTTTGTTTGTCAACACAGACCTAGCCGCCTGTATAAGATGGTTGAGTGAGGTGTGCCTTCTAAGCGCATGGGTGAATACATTCAGAGCCCTCCTCCTGGCAGCCAGTACCATGGTAAGGTCGATGCCCGCTGATTCAAGCACGGGATTGCTTTCAGCGCTCCCAATACCCTGTTCGACTGCAAGTGAGAGTGGACATTGGAGTTTGAGTCAATTCAGTGATTAACACGTCCGTGTATGAGAAATCCGGCTGCTTGTTGACAGTGAACTTATGTCATCTCTGGTCATAGTAATACATATGGTGAACTTATGTCATCTCTGGTCATAGTAATACATATGATGCAGAAGTTCGCGAGAATTGTGTGCCACACATGGACTTTGTATTGCTGTCTATACACGCGTGAGTTATCAGAATAAAAAGAAATCGGTGAAGTCACACTATGAGGGATTCAAATGGATCGTAATGACAAAGACAGATGCTGCGAAATTAGACAAGAACCACCCAATACAATACAACCTTGGCAGTGGAGCTTGAAATTATCATATCAGCCTAAAGATTCCCGATGATGGTTTAGATGTAAGGATCTGAATAGAATACAGACGCTGAGACGCGTGCCCTAGGACTTGCCAGAGTTACTAGTGTGTTGCTTTGCACCTATCGCACTTTGCCGATACACCTGGGGAGGTGAACTTCAGCAAAACACCACAACGCAAACTATAGTTCATTTTAATACACAACTATAGTTCATTTAAATACACTCCTCGCAAGTTATCAGCCGACTCAAATCACCAATCAGTGCTTCTCGATACATTTAACATACTTTTAATCTTGTCCGCGTTGTGTGCATTCGTATTCGCGGTGCCAGCATTGGCGAGTGCGGTCTTGAGCCAACTATCTACCTGTTTGGCTAGCAGTCGGATAGACTTGGTCACAGCGGGAGAGATCTTGCCCAGAACGTCGGGCAACAGACTTCTGAGCGCAGTCTCGTACAGTATACTATCGCACCGATATATATACGCACAGCACTCTGTGTGGTGTAAGGGGTGTATAAGGTGAATACGATATCAATGCGATGTGTTGAGATAGCCTTTGATTTGTTATCCCGGAGGTATGATTCCTAGGTCCATGCACTTTGTAATGTAGCAGTGAGCATGTGTGGAGAAGGATATCTTGTAAGCTGATACCATCCGCTTCTTAAATGCGTGAATCAATATAACACCCTGCTACCACATCTGTGCATTCAAATCATAAAGACGTCTAGCCACACTTTGTCGCCCAGAACGAGAACATTCCACACCCAGTACTACTGACCATGTTTTTTCTCTGCAAAGCAAAAACTACACCCAAGTGCGTATACGGCATTTAGTTACTATCTGTATATATTTGTGTGTCTATACCCAAAAAAAAATTGACTGGAGGGACAGATGTCACCTACCTGCGCTGCTGGCCACTCTCAGACTCCCCAGGGACAACTCCTTCCAGAACACATGAATCACCGATGCCATTGTGTAGAAACTGGGCTCGGGCTGGTCAAAGGTCAGATTTTGCAGGGTATGCAGCAGAGTTTCACAGTGTCCCCTGAATAGGGCGATAAACTTGGTGGTCTCGAGATTCTCAGCCATTTGGTAGGTGGCTAATACAGGCGGCCTCAACCCCGGTATTTGCTGGGTCCTGGTGTTGTTCTTACTAATATGTTGTGTGTTCGCAGGCTCGTTCGTGCTGCTGCGAGATGGTATACTCGTGCCGTCCAGGCCTGAGTTGCCGTCAGGTATCTGCTGCTTGTGTGTCTGAGGTGTTTCTTGTTGCCCTAGTCGAGAAGACCCCTCCTCCACTTTGTTCACCGGCGCGATACCGCTCGCAGTACTGTGCACTGAGTTATCGCCCAGAGTACCCCCATTAGCGTTCGCTCCCTTACTTACATCCATACAGTCTCCCTTTATCATCCCGTCTAACGGCTCACTGGGTCTGGTCGTATCGCTCCTACCCGCATTCACTGAGCCTGCCTCTACACCAGTAGTAGACGCCGTACGCGCTGCTAGCCCTGAACTTGTACCCGCAGGCTCAGCAATAGCCCCGCCAGCTGTGCTGCTGTCATCTGCCAGATGATTCCTACCAGTGCTCCCAGACACCAGTTCACTGGACATGCTTTCTGTTTCATTGCGCTCCGCCATATCCCGCACATCCGGTACGCGCATGTTTGCGAACTCGCTGATGGTGGGGAATGGTGGCAGTGGTAACTCGAGCACTTGGTACGAGCCTGCTGCTGGTTTGGTCTTCCCGTGGCGTGCTTTGCTGCCTCCTGTGTGGGCTGCAAACTCTCGACCTGGAATGGTACATGTGAACGAGTGCGAAGGAATGATCAAAACGCGACTGGCTGGAATCGCAATGTTGTTGTCCTCCCTCGACTGAGCATGAAACGTGCCCGCTGGGTCAAGCTTCTAATGTGGTACTGTTATACAATAGGAGCTGTGTGGGATCACGGTGGCTGTACTGTACATACATGTGAGATTTGAATGAAAAGTAGCATTCTTAGAAATCCTTGCTCAAAACTCTCCGAGGGCAATCTTGATCTAGACGGCAAAGCCTACACGAACAATGTCTTGCTGGAAACCTCTAATCTAGTATAAATGAGTCTATATCACTAGCGCGCTTGTGATAAAAGATTGTCGATGGTGAGTTAAACAAAGGATCATCAAAAATGCAACGAGCCGCCACCACATACAAACACGTCCTCTACAAGATATACCTAGATAGATACATGTGTCTAACCTGCAACATGCAGACAAACAATTGAAATGTACACCACCAGCAGTGCCATCCACTATACTCAAATGCATTCATATACAACCCCTCTTCGAAGAGGCGAATTCTGTGCTCGCGCCTTCAGACATGACGTACCGCTGTGAGTCCTAGACGCAGCCTCCATGCCGTAACTCTGTGTGTGTGACAGCAGTCCATCATGGAACCCTCCTTCATCACTGGTAACAGAGTACCGGTTCGAGTGTTTGGTGACGCTGTTGCGATTTGAATGCGACGCTGACGATCCGTCATAGTCTACCAACACTTGCCCGTACAGTTCGGATGCGGGCCGGATGCGTATACCGTAGTAGTGGTATTTGGAATTGCCCCTCGTGCCCAGCCTTCTTGTCTATGGGTGGCGTGTGTAGTTGAGAAGTGGTAGAAGTATGGGACTACGTACATTGGGGTTGAGGTCAATAAAGAACCACTTTTACGCTGTGGTGGGTTTGTTCACGAATTTTCTATATCCACACTCTGAGTGCTCCCTCGCCCATAGCCCTCGGTATGGGAGTGCTTTGAAGCTTGAAGTGGCAACTACCTATGTTTCTACAAATGCGACGAATAAGTAATATACAATAATGTATGCTGCGAAGTGAGATCAACTAGATTAACTTCGCTCCCCACTTTGCTTAATATAGGCAGAACACAATTAATTGTATTTCAAAACATGTGCAGCACATTCTAAGTACCGAGTAGCCACGCGTCACGTATATTTCAATTATGCATACCTTGAGATTTGGAAAGATGGCCCTAATGTGTTTGCCAAAGCTAGCAGCGTTAATTGGTTCTCGGTTGTGACTCGCACAATAGTTTTCGTACTGTTCGTACACGACTTGCCTTGGTAAGCTCTGTTCATCGGCACTTTCGTAGTTTTGTATGAGCCTGTACGCCGGATCAATTTGTTTCAGAACATAATGAGCAATTGAATAAGTGCAATAGACCAAATCGCCATGCGATAGTATGTTTGTGAGTAGCCAATTGGACTTTTGCCCTTTCGTAGAGTATTATAACTTCACCTCAACATGCCATACTGCAGACAAAAACACACAGGAGCACTAGAACGATACCAATGTACAAGAATGACAAAGAGAACTTCTATAAGTGTGGCAAAATACGAGTATGTGTTAATGAGAAAACGTGTATACATATATCAGAATGTGCACATAAGTGCGAGTCTAGAATAAAACATACACGTGAATGTATACATACCTAGTTTATATATATATGTGTGTGTGTGTGTGTGTGTGTGTGTGTGTGTGTGTGTGTGTGTGTGTGTGTGTGTGT